GTATCAATCACTTAGTCAGCTCAGGCTGTCATAACAAAATACCACATAAAACAACAGATATTTATTTCTCAGTTATGAAGGCTGGGAAGTTCAAGATCAAGGTGCTAGCCAATTCAGTTCCTGGGGCTCTCTTCATGGCTTGCAGATGGCCACCTTCTCACTGCGTCCTATCACGGCAGAGAGGAAGCCCTGTTCTTATAAGGGCACTAACCCCATCATGGGGGCTTCACTGGCATGACCTCATCTAAACCTAATCACCTCCCAAAGGCCCTACCTCCTAACATCATCAAACATTTAGTCCAAAACAGGCTTCACCTAAAGGCTCCACTTAAGGAGGGTTCGTTTGCAAACTTACTCACATGGTTGTTGGCAGAATTTAGCTCCTCATTGGTCTCTTGGCTGGAGGCCTCCACAGTTCCTCGCCACACTGGCCCACACTTAAGTGGAGGGGATTGCACAAGGGTTTGAATACCAGGAGTTAGGGACCATTGGGGGCTATTGTAGAGGCTGCCTACCCAGTATATTCTAGATACATCCTTTGTCTTGAACTTTACCCATGGCTGTTTTCCTGGTAGTACCCTGGATTTGATCTTTGCCTCTAAACCATTTCTTGTGTTAAGAGTTAAGTCCTCTAGAGAAGTTAGGAATGAAAAATAGTTTTATTAATATTTCAAATCCAGCAAGTCCTGGCTTCTTTATGTTTCTTCTAAATTCTGATGGAAAAGGGAACAGTTCCTTTTTTAGCTCACTTCTCTTGTACTGTATCATATGCATGAAAAAGAAACCATCCAACCCTTTTGATGTTCTATGCAGAAATCTCCAGAGCCGTATCCACATGTTCAGTAGGTACCTTCTCCAGCTTTCATTTATCTGCAGGCTAGTTTGGCTAATTGTTCTTCCAATACCCAAATCGGACCCCCTTATCTCCAGCCTGCAGTAACAATTTTCTCGCTGTCCTTTCCTAACAATGTTCTTCAATAACCAGACTCCTCAAGGTTCTTCCAGCTTCCATCTTCCACCTGATCCCAAAGCCACTGCCATGTGTTTCAGATTTCTATTATTACTTCTAGGTATGCAGTTACGTTTCAGTTAGACTTTGCTGAATAACAAACCACCTTAAAACCTAGTAGCTTAAAACAACAGCATTCACTTTTTGCTAACAATTTTTGCAATCTGGGCAGGGGTTTGTGGAAAAAAGCTCATCTCTCTTCCACATGGCACCAGCTGGGGCAGCTCAGCCAGAGCTGGAGCATCCACTTCCAAGACAGCCCACTCCCGAGGCTGGTAAATTGGTACTGGCTGTCAGCTGAGAACTCAGCTGGTCTGTAAGCCGGGGACCTGGACGTGGCTGATTGGGTTTCCTCAAATGATTGGAGGGAAGTGAGTGGATTGCAGAACTCTTTGGGAGGTAAAAATCAGGGGCTGTTGCACAACCACGTGAATATACGTACCACTATTGAACTATACACTCAAAAATGATTAGGATGGTAAATTTCACATTATGTGTCTTTTGCCACAATTGTAACTAACTAAATAAGAAAGATCAGGGGAAGATGGTGATCACCTGGAGGTGGGTGGGGGTAGGGTAAGGGAGAGAGGTGTCAAGGATGACAAAAACCAATAAAACACAGCCCCTGGCCTCAAGAATGTCTCTGGCCCAGCACAAGAGTTAACAGGCAATCAGAACACATGTGGTAGACACTGCAGCTTTCTGCTGCAAAGCTAACATAGGTACAAAGCCCATGCCATGAAAATAGCCTCAAAATAGACCTTTAATGTTTGTAATTCCCAGAGACAGACATTTGAGACATAATTATGGGTTTGGATTTCTTAAAGCAAGCCTCAAAATGAACACTGCCAGAGAAACAGAGATGAGTAATAAAAACTACAGGTGTATACAATATTTCCCTTTCAACCTAACCTTGCAGACTAGATAGCAACGGGGTAGGGTGGTGGGCCCGGGAGAAAACAGATGTCTTTGGGTCATTAGCCCAATTTTCCAGGACATAAAATCCCTTTGTTGTCTTATATTCTCCGTATGCCCAGAAACTATTGCTACTGAGGACATCTCACTTTTGAAACTTCCTTTCTTGGAAGTAGTAAACAAGTCATAAAGATCATTTATATCCTGATTGAATATACATTTTTCTTCTCTCCATAAACTGAGCCTCTTTCCCCTCAATCACAACATTTTATAAATAGTCAAAGTCTGTTTAGAGATTTCCCTTGGGTCTTCTTGGTAATTAAATATTATTCCATTGTTCTTACAAATCAATCTAAACCATTTTTTCACATAAAGGACAGAAAATGGGAATCCTTATTTCCCTGACATCTTATCCCATCCCCATACACTTTTCTGAAAACACCTTGAAGGTCATCCTCACCAGATATCCCTGCTTTATTGGTAACTTTATTGCTCAATGTGTAAGATAATGGTGTAATTTTTATCTGTTATTTCTTGAAATCTTATCAGTTGTCCCATTCTGCCCAAGGTCTCTGCCCATTATTTTGCAGGGAGGAGACCCTAGATAAAGACCACCGCTAAGACCCTGCCTAGTACCCTTGTGGTGGCTCTCCATTCTGAGATGCCACTACTAATTCAGTCCTTCCTGCAGGATCTTGGAAGGATCCGATAATGTCATTCAAACCTGAGAATCAATAAGTGATAAGACTTAATGTGCTCATTCATTAAAAAATGATTGAGTGCCTACTATGTGTCAGACACTGTCTAGATGTTGGAAACACAAGCATGAACAAGCCAGGCAAGGATCCTCTCATGGAACTTATTTTTGTTTCTTATCCCAGAGGTTTCTGACTTTTAACAATGGACAAAGTCCTGGCTTGGCTTAAAGACAAAGGAATCAGGTTCTATGTTTGGAATGAAGCCACATTTCCTTGGGCGGGGGTAGGGGAGGTTCTCCCAGCATCCTGAACTCGCACAACATATTCCACTTACTCCTAAGTGGGGTCTGACATCAAGGACTAGATTAATCGTCATTTTTCTTGGGACTTTGCGAGCCTCCAACAAGACCATGCCTTTCTGTGGAGTATCTTTGGTCACAGGCAAGAATAGCTGAGGACAAAGTGTTAGCATCATTGGCCAGCGCGGGGGCCCAAGACCACCACTCAGCTATTGCTCAGGAAGACATTGCCCTCTCGTGGTTCCTCCTATCACTGAGGGAGGAGCTGGCAGTGGAAAGGGCTGCCAATGGACACAATCAACACAGCAAAACACACAGGAAGTTTCCAGATCAATTGTAGCCTTGACTCTTCTAAACTTCTTCAGTTGCAGGTTCAGATAGACTCTTATTTTCACCCAGCATACACTTTTGTTCCTACAGAGAGAAATGACATTATGATAGCAATTAAAGAAACACATTTTTCCCCCTATACAAATCCTTTTTCAAAATCACCAGACCCCCAAGAAAAACCTAACATGTAAATCCAAGTATCACTACTGTTTTTCTCTACATAATGCCCTTAAAGCAAATATTTGCTCTGTTATTTGACCAGGGATTCTGTGATTATGTTGCCGTGAAGTTGTTTTGGGGTTATCTTGCCTCCACGCATTCCCTAAAGGCAGGGACCTTATCTTCCACTCCCACAGCCACCCCCGACCCATCCCCAGCAGCGCGTAAAGAATGTCTGGTGGGGGTGGGGAGACAAACAGTAAGCAGCGTCTGGTCAGAAGTTGTGATTGGTGTCGTGCAGGACGGGAACAGCATTCAGAGAGGGAACTCCTGGGAGAGCTGGGTGGAGCGGAACCTACTCATACACGGAGTTGTCAATTTATAAGTTTGTAGCCGTCAAGTTTAAAAGCTTAAATGATCCAATGTTGGAAAAACTCCCAGGGCCCAGGAAAAAATGGAAATTTCCTTAATGAGAATGTTAGCTTTCACGTGTTGTCAACCTAAACTAAGCAAGAATGGGTGCCAGGTGCCTTAGCTCTAGCAACCTATAATCTCTCCAACCCTGGCAGATGTAACTACTCGCATCTCTCAGAGAAGGAAACAGAAGCCGCGCAGTCCTGGGAGGTTGTTGCAAATGCCGAGGCCCCTTTCTTGTTGAAGATCATCGGCACAGACCTCCAGTTCTGCTTGCACTGAGGAATATTCACTTAGCCAACAAATATTTATTGAGTGCCTACTACATAGCAGGTAAACCCTCTAAACGGCTGTGGGATTAAAAAGATAAACAGTCTTGTTTTCCAGGAAGGCGCTCCCTGAAGAGTGGGGGAGCCGGCTAGGTAAACAGTTCCAGAAAAGTCTGGTGAGGGCCCTGAGCGGAGCCAGCAGCGGGTGCGGGGAGGGCTGCGAGGCGTCGCAGGACCGGCGTTTGAGATAGGGTTGAAACTGTACCCTGAAAAAGCCGGGCCGGAGGGGGCTGTCCCCGGTGTCACTCGAGTTCTCTCATCCTGTCATTTGAAGCCGGCGACTCCGAGGGGATGAATAAGGGTCTCCACCGGCACTTTAGAGAAGGGGAGGCTTGGGGACAATGGGTGCCGATCCCTCGTGAAAAGCGGGCGGACAAAAGTAGCACATGCCAGGTCCCGGTCCTCGCACGGCAGGGCCTGGGCCCCGAAGCCCCTCTCCCGGCTCGTGCGCGCGCGGACAAGCGAGGTGGCCAACTCGGGTCCCGCTCGGACGCCGGGGCGCCAGGGGCCGAGGGAGCGGGAGGACCCGGCCTTCTCCCCTCCGCCGCCGCGGCCCTCGCCCTCCGACCTCCCGCCGAGCCTGGGCCGGGGTCGGCAGCTTCCGCCCGCGCCCCGGCCCCTCCCCGGCGCGCGCCATCCGGCCGCCCGGCCGCCGCGCTCGGCGCAGCCCCTCCTCCCGCGGGGGGCTTCGCCGTCCCCCGTCCCGTCCCTCCCGGCTGGAGCCGGCAGCCCACGTCCAGGGAGGGCGGAGGGAGGAGGAGAGGGAGGGGAGAAGGGAGGAGGAGGGCGAGAGAAAGGGAGCCGCTAGGATCCCGTACTTCCAGAGCCTGCCTGGAGCGCGCACTCAGCGGCTCTCGGGTGCCAGCGTCCCAGCCGCGGCCCGCGCCCCGCTGCCCCGCACCTCCTCCTCCTCCTCCTCCTCTCCGGGCACCCCTCGCCCCCTCCTTCCTGCGGCTGCCTGGCCCGGCCAGCGGCAGCCCCCAGCCCCAACTCGGCCACATCCCCAACTCTCCGGGCTCCCTCCTGGGACGCGCGTCCTCGCCCCATCCTTTCTTCCTTCCTTCCTTCCTTCCTCCCCTGGCGCCCGCCCTCCCTCTCCAGGTCTCCCTCCCGGGGCCCGTTTGTCTCCGTCCCCTCGCGCTCGGCCCGCGTCCTCGCCCTGCCCCGTCTCTCGCTCGCACTTCCTGAGTCGCCCGCGCCTCAGCCTCGCCGCGCCCGGCAGCCGCTGCCCCGCTCCAGCCCCCGCAGCCCGCGGCGCCCGCCCGAGGGAGCCCCGGCGCCCGCGGAAGGCAGAAGTGGGCGAGCGCGCCCTCGCCAGCCCCGCGCCCCAGCCCTGCCCCGTGAGGAAGGACCGGGAAGATGAACAACGGCGGCAAAGCCGAGAAGGAGAACACCCCGAGCGAGGCCAACCTTCAGGAGGAAGAGGTACAGGGCGGCTCGGTGCGGTGGCGGGCGCGAGCGGGGACGGAAGCCGCGGGCTTTCTCCACAGCGCGGGCGGGCGGGCGGCCGGCGGGGCGCGGGTCCCGGGCAGGGGCGCCGCGGTTGAAGGGCTGGGAACTGCCCTCGCTCGGGACACTGCCCCGAGTTGTGGCGCCGGTGGGGTGGATCCGGCAGCGTGTGTTTTTTGCGTCCACGCGCGTCTGTGCGCCTAAAATTGCGTAACTCCAAGGACTTTCCGGAGACTTTTTGTAAGTATAATGCTCAGCTTTGTTTGCCCGGGGTTTAAAAAGTGGAATCGAGAGTTGACTCCTGGGTGACCTCAGATTATTGGGACCCGGACGGTCAGGACTTAGTTCTGGGCTGTTCTAGGTTTGGGGCTGGAAGTTTTGTGTGCCTGTAGGGCGTGGGGGTTAAGGAAGAAATTGGGGGGAAAGTTCTCGTTAAAAGGCACCTCTGTTCCCTGCCCCCTTCCTTTCAGTGTTAAAAGTTCTTGGTGAAATATCTTTCTAGCCCAGGCATTTTGGATTAATAGATAACTCATCAGCCGCATTCTTCTCTGATGAGTCAAAGACCCCGAACCTGGGCGATTAGCTTTTGTAAGTTTAGGGGCCACGCAGATGTGGGAGCGGAATAGAAGGGTTAAAAACTTAACAATTCACGGAGTGCTCATCGAGGATGTTTTAATAGGACTTTGACTTCTGAGTATAAACTTTACGTGGTGTGTCTGTGATAGTGGGCTCGGTGCGGTTGCGGAGCGTTCCTTTGGTGGAAATTAGTAAATGTGGGGAAAGTGGGGGAAGTTAGGAACAAACGTCTCAAAATTTTGTAGTTAGGATATTGGCAGTATCCTATCAAATGACTCTTGTTCCTACAGGTACATTCTCTGGAGTCCAAGAAACCATTTTTCCTTTACTTTTTGAGATCTCGCACAGTTGAGTTCTTAAACATTCTATCAGGAACTTTAGAATGTGTGGAGATGCAGGAAGGTGTACATCTCAATGTATGCCCTAAAAAGGATTTTTACAGGTATTGCATCCTGATACAGAAGGTGAACACAGAAGGTAAACAGATTCTAAAGAGGTTAGGATGTTGAGATTATTGTTCAGATACCGTGTTGTGTGCAAACTCAAATTCTCATAGTGAAACCAAACATTGCAGGAGGAATTCATTAATGCATAAGTCCTCTGCACATTGTTCACTCGTAAAATGGGAACTATTTGAATGGGGAAGATAGAAGAGAAACCTAAGACCACGCAAAACAATGCAAAAAAAAAAAAAAAGATTTTACTCTCAACACAGTGGTTGGTAGTGCAACCTAGGTGAATTGCATTAAGCCGAAAATTGCCTTCTCACCTGAGGAAATTGCCTGTTTTATTAGGAGGTATTATTTTGAAAAGTGTTCTTTATTTACATACGTGCTTTGTATCTACAAATGTAGGGATAGTACTGATAGTTCTTTTTTTTTCTTTTTTTTTTTTTTTTAAGAGATGGAGACTTGAATTGCAAATTCCACTTTTTCCTTGAACCTTAACTGGCTACTTTGCTATTTTATTTTCCCTTATCACTGAAAATTTTTTAAATGATAAGTTTCCTTTTTTTTTATTGCTATATTTAACCAATCCACTTAACACATTAAAGTAATCATTGCTTCAGAGATGTTCTATTTTGGTTAGATAGGCAATCTGTTTACTTCTTAAGGGTAAGAATGTATTGTGTGAAACCGTCCTTCTCCGCTCACCCAGTTGAGAAAAATTGTAGCTGGGAAAAAAGTTAATCAGGCAAAACAAAGATGATGATGATGATGATTTTTTTTTTTTTTAGCAATGGGTCCTTGCTATGTTGCCCAGGCTGGATT